AGAATGGAACGCTCTATGACTCAGACTTAAACTGTTTTCCCTCCACGTTTTACCATCAGATGGTTTGTGTTCTCATGTAAACTCAGTGAAGCTATAGAAAACCAAAGGCACGTAAATATGATACAAACCAACTTGTGCAGAGCAGTACAGGCACTAAGTTGAGAACTCTTGGGGTGAAATATCTAGTTCTGACAGTGACAAAAATTTTAAATTCACGGTTCAGTATTCAGCCAGAATACTTGTAATCTGATTCCTGTTTCACTTCATCAGGCACCGCAAGTGAGGTTAACCTACTCAATAACAATGCCTAATGACCCATCTTCTTCATGAACAGTTAACACCCATACCCCATTTTGATGTCATGTGATTGATCAAGTGGTCTTAGCTGTTCAGTAACAATGCAAGCTGAGGGACATCATGATTCCATTGTCAATCTCCAGCGAAGCACAACAATCAGTACACTTGTACTAAAAAAAAGCTGCACCGCCACTGTATTTAGGCACCGAAGTCATCAAGGACAAGGCACCGACATCCTCAAGGACAGCTTCTTTGGTACTGAGAACGCAATCAACATCCTCACTGACAACCCTTTCGGTGCCAAAAGGCTATCTCCTATCGTGGCAAGGACATCTTCATGATTCCCAGCAGCATTAAGCAAGCACAGAGGCACAGTGCACAGGTTTGGCAAAGTGTTGGGAAAACACCTAATAATACGGTAAAAACACTAATTAACAGGAGGTAAGTTTATTCATGATTTCCCATAAGTTTGTTTCGGTTATTGAAATCAGTCAAAACATCATTTCCACATACCGATGAGGATGCAGTAGAACTTGTGTTAACTTATATAGTGCTACAGTCTAAGGTCAGACTAACATTCACATTCAACAACTAATATCAGAACCATTTCACATTCTCAATCCCACCCCCAGTCCACAGAACAGTCAACGGTATATCTATGGCCGACAAACATAACGGTACAAGCAGACAAGCATAACTGTTGGCTGATAAGTCACGGCTCTATTGGCTGATTTGTTTCCAGAGAAAACCGTTGTTAAAAAAAAGACTAAAAAGTACGAATTATAAGACAAGTAAACAGGGCCGAGCATGATCTCATTTCATAAGCACTGACAGTGACTCTGGTATCCGCCAGCACACCTAAGAATTCCCAATCGGCCAATGTTATTATCTGTGCAAGGGGAGGGGGGGAGAAGGGAGGGAGATCCCGTTCCCCACCCACCCGAGGGCGCCCTCGCAACTACAAGGAGCAGCAGCGCCCCAAATGTGATTCGGTACAGGACCGACGAACGAACCAACGAACGCGCCCACCGCGCGGCGCGCGGCACGTAACCGACTGGACCCCGCCGACGCGAACCGACCCCGCCTGAGCGCACGCGAGATTGCACGGGACGGGGACGCTACAGCTACAGGAGCGAGGCGGTGGCGTACGGGCGCAGGCTGGAACTGGGACCGCCGATCGCCGGCCCGGCCAGAGCATCAGCGGCGGCGACGAATCGCGAGGGACATAGGAGGAGGATGGGAAGTACTTACTGGGAGTCGGCGTCGGAGGCGCCGGAGCCGCGGGGGCGGGCGGCGAAGGCACGGGTGGGGAGGGCGGCGACCGCGGCGGGACCGAGCCCCCCACCGCCGCCGCCGCCGCCGGCGGGGTGGTGGACCTGGACGGCGAAGGTGTAGTCGGCGTACGCGTACCGCGGGAGGGCGGCGGCGAGGCGTGAGCGGGCCCGGCGGCGGTGGCGGCGGAGGAGCGCGCAGGCGAGGCGGGAGCAGACGAAGGCGATGAAGATGAGGCTGAAGCAGAAGCCCGCCAGCGCCAGCGCCATGCTCGGCGACACGCCGGACGCCATCCCGCCCCGACCAAGAGAGCCCTTCGCCCGCCTCCCTCTCGGCTGGGTTCCCTGCCGCCTGCTAGTGCCGCAGCATCTGTGGGGTGTGGGGACTTTTGTGGTGGACTGGACTGCTCGGCTGGTGGGCCGTGTCGATGCGGTGCGGCCTCACGCAGCCTGTTCGCTTGCTTGTAAACGATCGTAAATTTTCAGCCGGAAACAGTGTTTTTCTCTCACACTAAACCAGTCAGCAGTAAATAATCCACGATACGATACGGCCTCCCGAACAGGCTGACGATAGCTAGCCTGCTACTCGGATGCTGTTGCCTTGCGTCCGCGCCGCCCGTTTCTGTGGCCTGCGCGCCTCGCTGCCGTGCCCACTTGGCTTTCAGTTTCAGGGCGGGGCGGCGAGCAGTCGGCAACGGGCGCACTAGCGGGAAAGAGAGAACGAGCGGCCGGCGTGTGTTCGCCGCCCCCGAACCCGCCGCGGCGGCGGCTGCGGACACGGAAATGACGACGCGCCGTGCATTTGTCAATTCTTTTTTTTTTAAAGAGACTTGCATTTGTCAACTTGGGTGTAGTGCAGCCCAGGATCTTTGCGTAATAGCGTGCACAGCGTTTGCTCGGCGGAACATTAGTGGTAGCAGTAGTAGTGCAGTGAACGGAAGAACAGCGCGTAAGTTCGGATAGGATTACGCCAGCCAAACGAAAGCAAAAAAAAAATGAAAAACAAAAAAGAGCTATATATATATATATATATAAAAAGATGCGGGGTATCCATCCCCGTGACTCTCGCATGCTAAGCAAGCGCTCCACCATTTGAGCTACACCCCATGACTGTAGCTAGCACCTAATAACCCACACTAAAATTACTTCTGCAAAGATGACATTGTCACCATACCATGTATTAGGCCCATTATTAGATCGTTGGGCTGGGCCTCCTTTCGTATTTAAAAAACAAGCACCGGCAGCAAACGCAGTCCTGTGTGTACTCTTGGACCTCTTGCCGACACAGCACATGGATTCTACTACTAACAAACATGGAAAGCATCATGTTGTAGCGCCGGATGCTAGCAAGCATCTGTGACGACCTCACGTTTTGATCTTGTTATGCTCCGCTCAAAAGTCAGACCTGAGCGGGGATGGGGAGCCCTGCTGGTGGGTTCCTCCGCTCCATCGTCTGCACACACAACATATGGGGTCCATTGAGAGAAGGAATGTTCTGGCTGCCTGCAGCCCCTGCAAACTGGATATACTACTAGCACTAACTGTACATGTCTCGCTAAAACCGGCCCCTGCCATGCAAGACCCGACAGAGCCGACACATCCATTAGCCTGTTCGCTTGCTCGTAAACGATCGTAAATTTCCAGTCGGGAACAGTGTTTTTCTCTCATACCAAATCAGCCAGCAGTAAATAATCCACGATACGATACGGCCTCCCGAACAGGCTGCATATCCTTAGCTCGACCCCGTTCAGATTCCGTTGAAGATACCAGCCAGCAACCAAAATGAAACACTCCATTCTACTCCATCCATTCCAAATTATAAATCGCTTCGACTTTTTTGACTCATCCATTTGGCTATGTATCTAGACATAATATTATATCTGGATACATTATAATTTGGAATGGAGTAATTTCTAACCGGTGGAGCCGCATAGGCATCCCGAAACATCTATTTTGGTTGCCTGTCCACTGTCGAGTGGATACAATTTACATAACCGATACACATACACGGGATCGATACGGTTCAAATGAGCTTTAATTTTTTTCATCCTGTTGGATAGATTATTATGCAATGCCACTCATGCTAGTTCACGCGTCACCCTCGCTCCAAGAATCTCTATATACGTACATAACCAAATACTGTATTCATAGATGGATGCAGGGCCACCGCATTCGCCCATCATAACCAATCAAACACTCCTTTTTTTTCTCTCTCATGTCGCTGTATCCACACAGCGTGTTTTCACTCAGTTAAGAAAGATAATATACGTATGATGTAGGCATGTAACCACATGAGAGCAACCCAACGCTAATGAACCACTGAACTGACCGGGAGAAGATGAAGATGACTGAGAAGAAGAGAAGAAAGATGACCACCGGTGATGAGACGAGGGAACACAACACAAGCTGCTCTCACCTGCGGACAAATCCAATCAAGTCCGCGTCAGAGTAGTTTCCAAAAAAAAAAAAGTCCGCGTCAGAGTAGGCCCGCAGCGCGTAGGCCCACCGGTTCGAAAATCTGGGCTCCCCCCGCCGCTCTTCTCTTGTCTGCCATTCGTCTCGTCCTCATCGTCTAGTCTAGTCTTGGTGCCACCGCGTCGACAGCGCGAGGGGTTCGTGCGCGTGGCGCCAAACGCAAACGTCCGTCCGACCTGGAGTTAAACCTGCTAGGTTGTTATTAGGCGGGCCTGATTGATTATTTGAGAGATGAGAGTCGTTGCTTCACATCACGAGATGCGATGGGATTTTGAGATGAGAGACCATGCAAGCTTGACAGACAACAGCAGCCCTGATGATGCATGCACGGACGGCAAACCATAGGCTTTCCCGGCCGTAAGCTACTGCAGCCTACACTTCATAATAAGCGACGATATAACTAATGCAATGCAGAAAGGCAAAGCCATTAGGTCAAAGTCACTGATGCAAGTAAATTAAGGAACGGAAAGCAGCATAGCATAGCATCCATCTTGATCGTAAAGTTAATTGGAGTCGAATCTATCTAATCACGGTGGAATGTTCCTCCATGCACCCATCGATAGTGCGACGAAGGAAACAAACGAGATCTCGCCCCCGGAGAACAGGGCCTGCATGTTCCCCGGAACCGGAATTCTTCCAAGCTTCTGCTACCAAGTAAGTAGTATATTATTAAAAAAAAAAACAGAAGCCAGAAACCGATTAGAAATGAAACGGGTCTCACGGAATCCCGGCCCGGCCCATCACCATCCAATCACCGCCCCACCTCCACCTCCACCTCCCTCGTGTCCCCTTCAAATTAAAAATCCTCTGCTCTCTCCATCCAAAGCTCTGCTCTGCCCTGCGCTTCTTCTTCGTCCCCTTCCACGGTTCCACCTCCACAGCAGCAGCAGGCTAGCAGCCCACTCGCTCCCTCCTCCCAGCTTCTCCGCCACCCCCGAACCAGCACTGCCATCCGCGATGCCACCGGACGGCGACGCGGCGGGCGGCACGGGCGCGGACATCGCGGCGGACGAGCTGCAGAGCCTGAGCTTCGGCTCCTCCTCGGACCGCTCGCGCTCCCGCTCCGCCTCCACGGTCTCCACCGCCACGGCGTCCTGCTCCACCTCCTCGTCGGGCCCGCTCCACCACCACCTCTCGCTCCCGCCCCCTCCCTCTCGCCGGACCCCGACCTCCTCCTCCGCCGTATCCACGACGCAGATCCCGCGCCTCGGCGCCGTCGCCCTCTCCGACATCCGCTTCCTGCGTCGCCTCGGCGCCGGCGACATCGGCAGCGTGTACCTGGCCGAGGTCAGGCCACCCGCCGCCGCCGCCAAGGCGGAGGACAAGGAGAAGGACACACACCGCCGCCGCCGCTGGCGCCGCAGCAGACGAAGCCGCTGGTGGTGGCCGCCAAGGTGATGGACCGGAAGGAGCTGGAGGGCCGCAACAAGGAGGGCCGCGCCCGCACGGAGCGCGAGATCCTGGAGGCCGTCGACCACCCGTTCCTGCCCCGCCTCTACGGCGTCGCGGAAGGGACCGCTGGTCCTGCCTCCTCACCGAGTTCTGCCCCGGCGGCGACCTGCACGTCCTCCGCCAGCACCAACCGCACCGACGCTTCTCCGAGGCCGCCGTCAGGTGCGTCGCCCTCTCTCCCCCCCCTGCGCCATGCCAAACCTTCGTTCGCCGCCGCCGTGATCAGCATTTCTTATTCTTATTACTCGCGCAACAACGAAAATCATTATGCGTGCATTTCAAATCCGTACTAGTACTAGTAGTAGTAGTAGTTACTGAATTTGAAGATCGTATGAATATTTTTCAAAATAAATAAATAAATGTGTTTTGGGCTCCATTGACGATCCGTGGCTAGTAAGCTAACGATTCTAGGCTTTTTCGGAGGAGAAGAATCAGGCAGGTTTCCTGCGGGTTGTGTTTGCCGCGGCGCTCTGTCTGTTTCCTTGCCTAATAAAAATTTCCCACTATTCTACACTTGATTTTGTTTCCTTTGGGTACGGTGTCGCTGCTGGCGTAGTTTAAGGATCCAGTGGATGCAGTGCCGGCCCCATGTGTCTTCGGTTGGGCACGCATCCGCCTGGTTTCCTCCCTTCCTCTGAAACCTGCTGAATGATGATCATGAATGCGTTTCATCATGACCAACACACGCACACACACTACAGCGTAGCATCAGGTCGCTGCCGCTCTTGCCTTTTGGATGCGTTTGCAATTTTGCATCCGTCCATGCATCCCTGATGAAATGGTCCTGGAACAACCGGGACACACGATCATCAGGAAACTAAACCGTTGTACGTAGGCGTGATGTGACATGTGGACAACAAGACCATTTTTTTTTTCTTTTCTCCCGTTGATTTGATGATGAGGAAAAATTGGATACTATACCTGACTATTATTAGAAATAAAGGCAATGGAAAGAAGGGGGGAAAAAGATTGTTTGGAGACCAGATCAGGAAACACTTGTCCACCATGGTCACCACGTTTGTGGCATCACCCATCAGAGAAAAATGCAGAATTGCGTTCGTTAGAGTTGAGGACCGGATGGATGGAGCTCACTGTCACAGGCTCACAGCAGCACAGTATATTGCATTGCTTTTGTTGCCGTGCATGCTGTGACCGTGTGAGGACTGACTGTGAGTGAGCCTGAGCCACACGAGCACACCACAGAGTCCTCGAGGCAACATTACTTTTCAGACTCAGCGAAGCGAACAGAGTCCATGTGGGAAGTAGTAAAAGCTGTGTGCGTGTCACATGCGCTTGCACCAGTCGTCGTCGTGCAATTGCAAACCTGCAAACCCTGTCCTGCGTAGCGTAGGTAGCGGCGGTAACAAGCGGTAGCAGCACGTATTATACATCCTGTAGAGTACGTACATTCACGGATGCAGGATTTTACTTTGGCTTGCAGAAGACAGAGACTTTACTATACTACCAGCACGGCAGCACCAGCCAAGACACGTACCTAGTAGTTCCCTACGCTAAGACTGTAGACTGACCGTAGTGGTTGGTTGGTTGGCTGGTTGCAACAGTGGCACTTGCTGCCTGCTGCTACGGCCGCTCCGTCGATCGCGGCATCATGGCGCGCGTGCGTGTGTCTACTTGCTCGCCCCGCCACGCCTGCCCAAGGACTGGACTCTCGAATCTCAATGCATGCTAGTACAGTACAGTTGACGCGGACCTGTACATGGGTCGTCCTGCAAGTCTGCAAGACTGCAACTGCAACGCAACCAGAGCGTTGCGCGCTGGTGGCGTACGACGTCGTCGTCGCGTTCGCACGGGTCACGAATCCATGGCCAGCGCCGTGAGACGCGGCAACGGTTCCAGGACACGTACGTCCGGGCTGCCTGCCACCAGGAAGTGCAGCCGGCAGGCGGCAGGGGCAGTAACCGTAGCGTTTGTAGGCGACCAGCAACCACTACAGTCGTCATCGGCGCATCATGGCGCGCACATGGTACGGCGGCCGGGGCCGCGCTGACTGATGGCGACGGGCACGAGCGCACGAGCGCACGAGCGGCGCCCCCCGTGCGCTGCGGCGGCGGCGGCGCAGGCGCAGGATGTGCTAGAGTCACGCCGGCCGTTCCGCCCGGGAACGTGACACCGTCGCTACCCATGCAGTGCAATCAGTTGCTGCTTCATATCGTGGCTGTTTTGTGAGAAATATCGTTGGCTGGTTTGCGTGAGCGAAAAATATTATTTTAGTTAAAAATTTGCGATCATTTACGATAAACCACAGCCAAACGGGTAGTTACTGAGGCTCTGTTTATAATGGGCTAGATGACACTGTACGCACTTGCTTAGTTTGCATTGGTCAAGGAGGCCTTTATTAACCCCCACCCCATGTGATCCTCGAGAATGACAGCTCTGAAACACATACACGTACACCTAGGTCAGTAGCTACTATAGGTTGGGTTCTGTAGGGCATTTTTTGTACGGACTAATCTACTAATCTCAGCCAACGAGGGAACAATTGATCCACACATGCGCTAGGCACAGGGACTGGCAATTGGGCACTGGCCATGCGTGCACACATGGGGTCCCTACCTTCGCTGCAGCTATAACATACAGCTTGTTCGTTGGTATAAATCCGCTGGAGCTATGGTAAGCTTCGGCTGAATTCAACCAGCAAACAGGCTGATAGACCCACGAGACTGTGATGCCCCCACCGTGCAACTTCCAACAGCCATGATGCGCCAATTCGAGCACTGTCCGGTGCCTTTTCCGCCGTCTGCTCTGCTGCCCACCTACCACCTACGTGTGACCCTTGCTCCCGTGCTCCGTTCGCTTGCATGCTGCACTGGAGCTGGAGTAGAGCATACGGTCGTATCCAACATGCCGGCACTTGATCTAGACGCAGTACACGCGCCTCACCCTTATCGTTAGTCGTTGCACAGCACAGGTGCGCCGTGGCCGTCTAGCGGTCTGGAGTGGGCTCTTTTGGCTACATTACAGACGTGAGTAAAGCCATGGCCATGCGCGCCTCGCTTGCAAGTACCTTTTCTAGCTTATAAAAAAAAGTAGCTTTACAGACGTGAGTAGTATGCAATTACAGTTGATGATGCGTGCTAAACGTAAGAATTGCAATCATAGTCATGCAGAGCAAACAAGCACTGTACGCATGCGTGATGGCTTTGCTGAAATCTGAATGATGAAATGAAACGAAACGAAACTTTGAGATAGACTGTGAGCAAGAAGGTAGTAGTGTACTTTGCATGATGGCATTGCCAAGTGACGAATGTTTATAGCGAATCTAGTACTACTGTTTGCTGGGCTTGATTGGCTGTCAAGCCATAGCCGAAAGTATTGATGGTTAATTTGATGGGAGAGAAAAATACCGATCGTTGGCTGAAAAAGTACGGCTTATAACCCAAACGAGCCAAAGCGGGACGCATGACTAATGCTGGTGCGTGAGGACTGACGACGGGTGCACGCAGGTTCTACGCGGCGGAGGTGGTGGCGGCGCTGGAGTACATCCACATGATGGACATCGTGTACCGCGACCTCAAGCCGGAGAACGTCCTGGTCCGCGGCGACGGTCACATCATGCTCACCGACTTCGACCTCTCCCTCAAGTGCGACCCCACGGCGCCGACGCCCGCGCACGTCATCTCCGACCCGCTCTCCCTCGCCGCCCGCCCCGCCACCTCCACGTCCTGCGCCATCTCCTCCTGCATCGTCCCCGCCGCCTCCTGCTTCCAGCTCTTCCCGGGCCGCGGGCGCCGGCGCCGGCGCTGGCGCGTCAAGAAACCGTCGTCGACGTCGAACGGCGGCAACAGCGGTGGTAGCAGAGGGCTGGAGCTGGAGTTCGTGGCGGAGCCGGTGGAGCTGCGCTCCATGTCGTTCGTGGGCACGCACGAGTACCTGGCGCCCGAGATCGTGTCGGGGGAAGGGCACGGCAGCTCGGTGGACTGGTGGACGCTGGGCGTCTTCGTCTTCGAGCTCCTGTACGGGGTCACGCCCTTCAAGGGCTACGACAACGAGATGACGCTGGCCAACATCGTGGCGCGCGCGCTCGAGTTTCCCCGGGACCCCGCCGTGTCGTCTGCCGCAAGGGACCTCGTCACCGCGCTGCTCGCCAAGGACCCCGCCCGCAGGCTCGGCGCCACCGTCGGCGCCGCCGCCATCAAGCGCCACCCCTTCTTCGCTGGCGTCAACTGGGCGCTCCTCCGCTGCGCCACGCCGCCTTACGTGCCGCCGCCCTTCAGCGTCGCCAACAAGGCTGGTGGTGGCGGGAGCAACGGCAAGGGCGACTGCGGCGACGATGACGGCGACGTGTCGGACGATAGTTGTCCTGGCACGCCCGTGGAGTACTACTAGAAGATGAAGAAGCCAGGGAGAAGAAGCGTCGGCCGTGTCTGTCCGGCGTTGGTCGTACGGGCCCTGCCGGTCGGTCGGTCGGGTCGGTCGTCTGCCGGGGTGGGGTGGGCCCCAATCAGGCAGGCACCTCCTCTTGTCCGAGTCCGGCGGGGGCCAGGCGCGTGCACGTGGTGGGGGACGGATGGACCACGGCGCATGGGCTGACGGAGGAGGCAGGGCGCGCTGTCGCCTCAAGTGGCTGCCGGCTGCGTGTCCCGACTCCGAGAGAGCTCGAGCTCGAGCTCGTGTCCCGGCTTTACCCAATAACCTGGCGGCCGCGCGCCGTGCCATTAACGCCTGGCTGCCTTGGTCAGTACAACCCTGTCCCTGTAGCGTTCTTGTTCTAATATATGTTAGGGGGTGCTGCTTGGAACGCAGGAAATGTCAGAGGTGAACGAACGTCTTGTGTTCCAAGCAGGACCTCAGGATTTGTATCATGTTGGAATCGTGTCACTTGTTGTATTAGTATGTTCCAAGCAAGATACTACGTGCTCATCGTGATACTCCAGAATGGTGGGGGATGCAGGCATCAGACATGGGGCATGCGAATGATACGCGGTGCTGGGCTGCCGGCCGGGGCGTGGACTGGGCCAGGGCTGAGGCTTTGGGCTCTATCTAACCGAGGGACACGAGACGCCGAGGTGATGATGAGGGAGGGGCGCAGTGGCCAGCTGGGGATAGTGGCCCGGAGATTCCGGCGCGCCGCGCTCGTGCACGTCGGCTGAAACATCGAACACGTACTGCCGCGCGTCTGCACCGGTGGGCGCCTACTTCTAGACTGCAGCAGATGCAATGCAGCCGTGGTGCATCGCCGACCGGCCGATCGCTGAGCTACCTTTACCTGTTGCTGCTCAGGCACTCTCAGTATAAAAGGTAAAAAGATGGGGAGCATGGATCGGAATGGATTGCTGATTCACCAAAGAGGTAAAGATGGTACTCCAGCTGCTGCACACTGCAAAAAGCAGGTGCATATACCAGCGGCTGGGTGTATAAAGGGGGTAAAGGGCTGGATAAAGGGCGCAGGAACTGCAGTTACAATGATCATGCTATGTGACGTGGCATAAATAAAATGCATGCAAGTCGGTCTACCGTTGACGAAGATGAAAGTCGCTAACCCAAAGCAGGCACCTTCCCTCCCTCCCGAAAAAGAAAAAAAGAAAAAAAAGGAGCAGAGACTCCACCGGATGTACTCTAGCTACATGTGATGTGAGAACGACGTGACTGCATCTTCCCTGTAGGTGACCTCAGGTGTAGTGAACATGAGAGACAGAGAGAGAGGGAGAGACACGGGTCCGTCCCACTAGTGACTCGTCACCCGAACCAGCGATTCTTTTTTCTTTTTGCGTCGATTATTAATTAATAATAAAACATTTAAAAAAATTGCAGCCAGTGATGAAGAATCCATCCACCATAATGTTGGATGCTCGACTCCAAAGGATGATGATCGCAAAAAATAATATTAAAAAAAAAGACTCCAAGATGATGATGCCCTAGCCATGGGCTCATTCGACCGGATGAGCCCAGCAACGCAAGTGTAGTCGTCATCCTTGTTGGGCTGGTTTCCGCACGAAACGTACCAGCTTTTTGGCGGCCCCGGCCCAAAGTGATGGTCGCCTCCCAGAGTGCCGACCTCATGTCCTCATGGTTCATGTTTTTTGTTTTTTTTTTGGATTCATCATTGGTCATGGCTCATGTTTATGTTTGTCTCACCCGTGCCAGCCAGCGTGGACAGTGATGGGCCAGGTCATACAGCACGACGCAGGCCCCGAGTGACCTCCCCTGCCGCATTCCTCTCACGCACTCACTCAGCTCGGCCGCCGACGACTCTGAGGACCAAGACCACGCGCGGCAGCAAGGCGCGCCGCGCACCGGGAGATGCCTCTGCGGTCAAGGTCGATGGGAGGTCACTCGGGGAGCTCTTGCTGCAGCTGCGCGCACTTGCGGTCGACAGTGGTGTGACCTCGGCGAGCGGCGTGCGCATGGGGCTCGGTAGCGGCGACGGCAGACCGGGCACGTGAACGTGGGCCGCCGCCAGAGCCAGGGGTCGACGCAGGCCGGTGGAACAGGTGGCCGCAGTCAGGGAGCACCCGGACCACGTCGCCGTCGCTGTAGTTGTCGTTTGTCGAGGCAAATGGGGCAGCAGCATGCTGCACGCCTGCGCTGCCGCGGGCGCCTTCCTCGCCTCTGCCGGGAACGCCTCGTCGATGCCCCGCTCCATGTCATGGCCGTGGCGGGGCGGCGGACAAGCATATGCCTAGGCCACCCGCTGATGCCGCTAGACACGAATATGCCGTGCGCGCCGCCGCCGCCCGAGGCGAGCTCGTTGCTGTTTTTTTATTTTACATATTTTTTTATTTGTCACCAGAAATGGTATTTTCATGTTTTTTATTTTCAGATCTTTTTTTTATTTTGTAAGATTTTGTTGAATTATGTGAGATGGATTGTAAATTTGTGCAAGGTTGAGATGCAAGTTAACGTGAGCGAGTGAATCTGCGTGGCCGCGTCGGGGTGTTGGTTAGACGTGCGCAGTCCCGAGCTATGCGGGCTGCCGCGTATGCCCGCGAGAGAGCTCGCGGCTCTAGCGGACGCGGGGCGGGCTGACCGCCGCCGCGCCACTTGCATCTATGTACTAACACTATTTCTGCAACAACTTAAGGCAGTGTTTGGCTAGCCAGAATCGGCTGGCTGGTTGGCTACAGGTTCCAGCCGGAGCAGTGTTTTGTTCTCACAAAATTTCTACATTAACAGTGCTTTCCAGTATGAACAGTAAAGATTTAAGTCCAGCCGAACACTGCCTAAATCGATAGCTCGTAACACTTGATGAACTTTTAAAGATAGTAAATTCAAAGGTAGATCCAAGAAAACACCAAGAGCATAAGCTTTCCAGTACACAACACAATCACAATGCATCTTTATATATAGTTATATAGTTCCAATAGCTAAACTGCACAAGGTTTATTTCATGTCGTCAAGCACAGTAGCTGAGTTGTGCACGTGTCATAAGATCTTCTAGGCTTCTAACTTGCTAGCCGGGTCATGACATTCTTGAGCTTGTGCGAGCAGCGATGCATGTGGTATTGTTGATGCCCCTGTTAACAGGTGTACCGTTTCAAGAGCTTGCATTCTAAGCTCTGTTGGATAATCCTTCACACATCCAATTCTAGGGCCAGCTCCAGTGCTCCAGTTCAGGGATAACTTGAGGCCAAGCTGATAAGATTCAGTCTCACTCTTGGATTTAATCCTCTCAAGAATTGCCTTCCGAGGGACATCGGTGGTGCCTTTGGGGATGTGTAGACCACCTGACAAGGTTCTACGGTATGTTAGCTTTGCTTGTTCTGTTGGAGCATCCTTGCCTTCACCACCTTCCTTTGTGTCTGTAGAGAGAATCACTTGCGAAGGATTGGTATCAACAACAACGTTTTGTGCTTCATTAGGCATTGTACCATCATGGTAGTCTTCTTTGGTGAATGGCCGCATCTGAATAACCAAAACAAGCGCCATATATATAATAAAACCATCTAGGCGGAGATGTATAGGTAAGTCAAAGTTATGGTTGCATTGATGTACCTCAATTTCTTTGAGATTAACTCCATTTTCGTCTAGAAATTTCATGAAATTATTGAGATCCTCTGTGCTTGGTTTGTAGTGACCACTATATGCCCAGATGGACTGATCAAGATAAGATAGTAAAAAAATCAGAATTGGACATGTAAATAAACACAAAATCAAGGAAAAATATGGAGTATGAAAAAAATATTATCATTTGCTCATGGATAAAAAGGAAATAGGGAAACAAAGTCGATGTTCTATTGTCCATTAGCTTGATAAGTAGCAAATCGAAAAGTATAGTAAGAAATATATAACATACCTTTATGCTATTGTAACTCCAGAAATCACATCATATATTTTTCAAATATCCACTAATCCTAGGTAAATATTGCATGTAATCTAGAAAATGTATACAATAGACATGAAATCAAGGAATAGCTAGGAAACAAATACTAGGATGGGAGGGAGGGTGGATAGCACTATGTTACATAAGAATATGATACCAATAAAGTTTCTTGAACCGATAATTAATTATATCACAATAAAGCACAAGTTTTCATAGGGCATTATTGCACAACAATACTACCTTGATTACTCCAGCTTTTACAGTAAATTTCCCAGCCGCTATGGTGGCACCTCCTGCTAAAAAGCTAGAGTGCTGAAATACACCTTTCTCCTTCTAGATGAATAAATCAGGTTATAGAGATAGGTAGTGGTCCAAATCATAAGCTAAAACAAATATGATAAAAGACTGTTTCTTAGCAATGCACACATGGAAATCCTTGTAAAAGTAGACAAGCTACCTTGCCAGCATAAAGTCTTCTTGCTGTGCTCATGACAAAAATCCAATAAGCCTCTTTAGGACCTTGGTTTGTATCAAGTGGTTCTCCAGATTGCTTATGGATAATTTTTCCCGCGGTAATAATGTATTCATAGAGCTCACGTTCTTTCTACAAAACATTTACGAAATATATGAGCATATAACCACTTGCTAATAGGTTTACTAGAAACAAAATGAAGACATGGAAACTTACAACCACTTGCTAATAGGTATACTAGAAATAAAATGAAGACATGTAATTCACTTTTCCAGTTCTTAGTGTTGTGTTGTTTTTGAACTCGAAAGTTTTTATACATGTCATGATTCATGATGAAATGTGTGATAAGAAGTAGACCAGGAATGCCCAATTATGTTCCTGTTTCTTGTGTAACAACAATCGAGACTTGATGCCATCTAAAATGCAGTTTGCATTGTATACAAGGTAACATAACAGTAATAACAATATTACAAGAAACCTAACAAAAGTTTGTTGAGCTTGAGATTTTTTTTTTAAATGATCACTTGTGTTTATACTAAAAGGATAGTGGTATTTAATTACAAAATTTTATCTGGACCAAAGTCAGGGTGTGTT